CACCTGGATGTGACTCACTACATTTGAAGGGGTGATGGCAGACTGACGACCCCTGGGGACTGGAGCAAAAGACACAGTGAGGGGGGAGAGAGGAGCAAAGAAGGACACTGCTGCCGACTGGAGCTGCATAAGGAATGCTTGATGAGTGTGTACTTGGGTTAAGGCAGGCAAGAGCACTGCTCCTGAAGTAATAGCTGAATGACTGAGAGAAGGGCAGAATAGAGATGAGGGACACAGTAACTGCAATAAATAAATTTACAGTTCACTTGTTGAGATGTAAAATATTGCACAAATAGGCCAAACATTGTCAAACACGGTCATAGCCACTTATTGTACATAATGCATTTGTATATTTGCACGTTAGTACAAGGCCAAACATCCTTGTCAGAGCCTAATCTCGTGAAATCTCAGAAGCTCAGCAGGGCTTGGCCTGGTTAGTACTTGGATGGAATACCAGGTGCCACAGTGGGGCGCCAGTAACAAAAAATCTCGTTGTGTTCTTAGGCAAGGCACTTTCCCCACATTGCCTAATATGAATGAGCGCCTGGAACGCTTTGAGACATTATTATGATGATGATGATTATTATTATTATTATTATTTTGCTGTTATTATTTTGCTGTTATTATTATTATTATTATTATTATTAAGGATAATAAGAATATCATAAAGTTCTCTCGATGGGAGGTGGCGCTCTAGTTTAGTTTTCACTGTAAAGCGACGAGGAAAGCACAAACAGTGATGGCAGCTGTCAGCTTGAAATGCTAAAGCGAAAACAGCTACATTTTTGGCGATTTGACCTTTCTCTTTTTAAATAGTTATATATCACTAAGACGGGCAAAATGTTAATAACTTTCAGAACCCTGCAGCAGCAAACCTTCAAAATCGAGATCGATGAAAAGGAGTCGGTAAGATGCACATGATCAAACTGGTGTGTGAGTTGTCAGAAGCTAACGCATTGAAGTTTTGAGCTTACGTCAAATTAATTTCATTTAATAACAGTTTTATGAGATGGCTGTATTAGCTTTTTCTGTTATTAAAAAAAAACACTTGAAATGTTAGTCGGGTGCCTGCGGTCCAGCCAACAATGTTTAAGTGCATTAAAAGTGACAGAAGTTAGCTTTTGTCTTAAACATCCAAGTTGTAAGGGACGTGATTAGCGTTATTTGACCTAACGTTTGTAAAGTATGTCCGCCTGTTGTTTGTGGATAAAGTGAAGTGCGCGTGTGTAGTTTGCACTGTCATGTTGCTCCTTCTTTAACTGTTTGCAGTTAGATTTATGCCAACACGCTGTAGCCTTTACGTATGTTAGCTAAGTCAGAAAGAGCAGTGAGGTACAATTACGGCTTTCTCCACTATAGTAACACTCTCGGCTTTAAGACTTTAATTAAACGACAAGAATCAGAATTACTTGAAAGTTATGGGCATATATTTCATGTTTTACTTTCGATATAATTCAACCAGCTTGTTAATGTTAGCTATGTGTTAGCTAGAAGTGATGAGTCATATCTGTAAACATTCACCCTCAAAGCTTAGGTTAAGCTTTAGCTAGCTAGCTATGTCAAAGTTCAGTTTTCGTCTTTCAAACAGTTAGCTATATTAGTAGTAAATGTGTCTTTTTCTTTTGTTTTGTGTGCGTGTATGTGTTTACTCCAGGTTAAAGCCCTAAAAGAAAAGATTGAACAAGAAAAAGGGAAGGACTTTCCCGTGGCTGGGCAGAAATTAATATACGCAGGTATGATTTGACATTAACACACACTAAATTTAAACATATAAACGGGAAACAATTTTCTAACTTTTCATCAGATTCTTTGTAGAAACAAACTTCTAAAGTGCTGGGTTTCAGATTGCATCACTACATTCTAGGGCTAGGCCAGTAATGTTATTGGGGAGGGGGCAGCTAAAATGAATGTTGCAAAAATGCAGAAATTATCGGGTTTAACAATGTGAATTTACATTTTGAATATTTCATGAAAGTACAGTTTAATAAACTGACTCTTCCCTCATCTGGAGATCACATTAAAGACCCTGAAAACCACATAGGACATGACCTAGGCTGTTTATTTGTTTATTAAAAAGTATTTGTGGTTTATAGTATTTGTACTGTGTTTTGTTACTATTTCCTTTAGGTAGAATCCTTACAGATGACATGCCACTTACAGAATGCAAGATTGATGAAAAGAGCTTTGTAGTTGTCATGGTGACAAAGGTTGGACGAAACAGCAGTGTTGTTTGCCTTTGGTGTATGTTCATGTCTGTAATATATACTACTATATTTTTCCTAGCCTAAGGCAGTGACCTCAGATCCAAAGTCTTCCACAACTGCCCCTGCAGCAACAGCTCCAGAGCCTCCTGCCCCATCATCCTCAACCTCTGACAGTTCATCTAATGACACAAAATCAGAGGAGAAAGAGCTTTCATCTAGTTCAACCCCTGAAAGGTAAATGGTAAATGGTCACATTTTTCTATAGCGCTTTTCCACCTTCAAGGCACTCAAAGCGCTTTACAACAAGGAACCACTCACCCATTCACACACACATTCACACACCAGTGTACGCAGACACTGTGGGCAAGGTGGCTTAAGTGTCTTGCCCAAGGAGACAACGACAGCATTCATCTGTGGGAGCTGGAATCACATCAGTCAACCTGTGGGTCAGTGGATCTGACCGCTCAACCTGTGATGTTTTATGTCGAGAGCTGGAATCAAACCACCAACCTTCAGATCAGTGGGCGAATGCTCTACCAACTGAGCTACTGCCGCATAGGAGTGGGCTACAGTATATGACAAAAATGAATCCTGACTACTGTACTAATATTGCTCCATCACAATTTTTGGGTGAATTGTAATGGTCCATTGAGGATTAGAAATGACTGATTCTCGATCTTGGTTAAAATTGGTGTGGTGTACCATTCATTTTTTCTTTGTTTCCTGTGCACTAGCGCTGATTCGTCAAGCACAAGCCTAATTAATGAAGCAGTTTCATCCTTAGGTAAGTAAGATTTGCGCTTTTGTAAATGATTGGTTCTCTACAATGCAAGATGATTTATTTATTAAGCAAGCTATTTGCCGTGTTTTGTCTTTTCTCTTTCCTTTAGTGACTGGTCCCTCTTATGATGCTATGGTGACAGAGATGATGTTAATGGGGTATGAAAGGGAGCAGGTGGTAGCAGCTTTAAGAGCCAGCTTTAACAACCCAGACCGAGCTGTGGAGTACCTTCTCACAGTAAGAATAGATGTCTGAGAAAAAATTTGCCTTCACTGTATTACAGTGATATATACAGCTTGGCATTTGTTTTTCAGGGTATTCCTGGCATTGACCAGGGACAGGCCACCGCACCTGAGGCTACATTACCGTCAGTAAGAAGGGACACTGCACCTCCAAGTGCTCCTGCTAACACTGTCTCGTCCCCAAGTGCTACAGGAGGCAAGTACCAATTTCATGTGAAGGTTCTGTTGTTGTTGGTGTGGTCCATTGTGCAGCCACTGTGCACTATAAATTATACATAGATTATATTTATGTAATAAATAATAAGATAAACTTAACAGTATCTCATAGTTCATCAAGTTTGCCTCATAAATTCTGATTAAACAATTGGTGTATGTGTGTTGGTTAAAAGTTGATGGCAAATCATCACAAGCACCTCTCCAGAAACTATCTAGAGCCTTTAGTCTGCCGAATCCTTGTTTAGAGGAACCCTGGGTCAAAAGTGTGCCCTCCTAAGATTGTACCTGTATAGGTGCTTGTTTACGCTCATGTATGCCTTCATGCTCTTTCAGGCAATCCACTGGATTTCCTGCGAACCCAGCCTCAGTTCCATACTATGCGGCAGCTGATACAGGGGAATGCATCTTTGCTTCCAGCTCTTCTACAGGAGATAGGCAGAGAAAACCCTGACCTTTTGCAGGTATACTTATGAAGTTAATACTATTCCCAAATATTCTCTGAATTCATTAACTCTGTTTTAAAATGTTATCAATATAGGAGATCAGCAACCACCAACAGGAATTTATCCAAATGCTGAATGAACCAAACCCAGGGTCAGTGTCAACTGCAGGTGATGGAGCTGGGTCTGGGCGAGCCGGCAATACAGGTGGTCAAAACTACATTCAGATCACACCACAAGAGAAGGAAGCCATTGAGAGGGTAAAAGCAGCATTTTTTTTTCTTTTTAGACTAACAAAAGAATACTTGTCTCTCATATTTTTGTCATCCTATTCTAGCTAAAAGCCCTTGGATTTCCAGAGGGTCTTGTTGTTCAAGCCTACTTTGCTTGTGAAAAGAATGAAAACTTGGCCGCAAATTTCCTTTTACAACAGAATTTTGATGAAGATTGAGAAGCCACATAAACTCTTTATATCCTGTTTGATTGTCCAATTTGGAATACTGATTAAGTGTCTACAATAGGTTTCTTTTAGTTAAATGTTTTATTCACTTTGATACTCTTATCTTAGCATTCAGTGAGACGTTTGTTTGGCAGTATTCAAGATTTATGAATTATTTTTCATGTTTACTTCTAAGATGAACAAAAATAAAAACTGTTTATTGACAATATATAGTTTCTTTGTTTCCTAACACCAGCATAACGAACAACCACTGACAAATATTGACATGATTAAAAAAAAAAAAAAAAAAAAAAAACTGCGTATAACCCGTTTGACCTACAGGGGGCATTAAAGACCTGCAGTTCTAGTAGAATTTGGCCACAAAAGCTATTGAGAGTACCAAAATAGTGCAGTTCATATTTCAAAGTCAAACGGCACAATAAAGTTTAAAATGTACATGAAAGCAATTTTATCTAAGACAATCAATAAACTATTAAAAAAAAATCCTATATTTATAGTGGGACTGAAGAAATAAAAATGCTCAATGGCAATTCATTGTAAATGATATCTACATTTTTATTAAACTAACTTAAAAAACATGAGCATTTTTTTTTTTTTTACAAATGTACAAATTTTGGTTTATATTACATATTTTGGCTATAAACAAAAAGCTTTGTTCAGAGTTCAATACAAAAATATGCACGTCTTATACAAATTATTGCACTTACCAAATGCAGTGCATTGATGATTGCCATCTTTACTGACTGCAAGGGTCAAAACATGGCACTTGAAGTTTTCACCCTTTGTCTTTTTCTTTGGTACCTTTTCAACTCCTTTGTAGTCACTGAGCACCATTCAATATAAATAATATTGTACCTGAAATTAATAGCATTGCAGGTAGAACATATATAAATACATAGATTTATTTCATACAGTGTGAGTCTTTATTGGTGTGTGCTGGTAGAAGGCCACTGGAGATGCTGGATGTTCCAGTTTCATTGACAAAATACATTTCCATTCTCAGTTGGTGGCACCTGGTTATCCAAGTTTTGTCATTTAAAATAAAGAAATTCCAGTTTGGTCCCTTTGGTGAACCTTTCTCAATGCGTCTGAAAGTTTATGTCTTGTGTGATAATTTTTTAATTTCAGCTGTGAAATCACAGCCCGTCTTGTTACTTCTGCCGCCTAGGCATTTTTGGTTTTGTTCACCTTGTTTCCCTGTATATCTGCCATGCAGATGCAGTCAAGAGTCATAAATGTCTCTTCATGTGAAGAGCCAGGTGGTCTGACCTAGAGAAAGCCCGGTCACATTTCTGGCACTGGAAAGGCCGGTGGCCTGTGTGCTTTCTGTAGTGGCGGGTCAGTTCATCAGAACGTGCAAATTTCCAGCCGCAGCCCTCCCAGTCGCAGTGGTATGGCTTCTCGCCTTTAGAGGAAACAAAACACACATGAACCGTTAAATGTCGGCTTCCATTTTGAAAGAGCCAAAAAAGAGGTCTATCCTGTCCTGCAGCTCATATAGAAAGGCCAGTGTAATCTGCCTATGGTTTGTGTTTGAGCAGGGATCAGTATCAACCTGTTTGACTGCACCTGCTAAACAACACCTAACCCCCACCTCCCCCACCTGTTACAGACTCTAGTACAATGTGCTGCTACATCCGTTAATAAACACTGGTCTCTTGTATTATTATAGCTGCCTTCAAATAGCCTGTTACTGAATTAACCAGGCACCATACCAGAACCAGAGGTTTGAAAGCCATAGTTCCATACCTGTGTGTGTTCGGTGATGTGCTTTGAGATGAGAGCTTTTTGTGTAGGTCTTCCCACAGCCAATGTAGTCACAAGTGTGTGTGGCTACTCTCTTCCTCGGCCAGGAGCGTCGGCCACGCTTGGGCTTAGGTTCTTCTGGTAGACAGTCACCTCCAGAAACCATGTGAGGATCTGTAGAAATAACAAATAAGATCAAGTACATAAAAAGATACATGTTACAGTAAACATATTCAAATTATTATCATGTTAAAACTTTAGATTTCTATTACCCAATTAAAAATAAAAACAAAGCAGGTTTGCTTTTAATATGATCTAAAATAGATGTTACTTTACTTTTAACTTTAGTTCATCACTTGTTAGGTGTGTTTAGAAAGAATGGTCATAGAATTACTATCACTATTATCGGTGTAGTTAACATTGTATTAAAGGTTTATTAAAACATCCTGACATGATATATTATATTGAGTAAGTAAGTGATAACTAACTTACCCTGGTAGGCTAGTGCAGAAGTTTGGGGGTACGAGGGAAATCCTTGTGTTGGGCTCTGGTGGTGGTACCCTTGAGGAGCTAGGGGTATCTGTGAGTGTTGGTGCCTGTTCAGAGGATGGTCTGGGGACAGGGATGAGGAGGAAGACAACCTGCTACCTGTCACTGATCTCGCACCACCAGGGAAGCCATGGAGGTCCAGGTGTCCAGGGCGTTGCTGCTGGCTACTCCTGCCTTGAGAATTCACCCCTGCCAGGTGAAGGTCCATGGGTTGTGACATGGTGCAGTTGTTTGGGTTCTCTTGTTTTATCCTCTGGCACGAAAAATTGGACGGAGAAGTGCGCAAAGGGTCCGTGATTGAGTTAACACAAGCTTTGCTAACACTGATCCCTTGACTATACTCCCCTGTGTCTATTGTAGTTTTCACCACAAACTTGCCATGAAGGCTGGTGGGGTGAAGGTACGCTGGGTCTAGATCCGGTCTCATGAGTTCAGCCACAAATCCACCGGAGGGTGAGACATCATTGATGTCTGGAATGGTGTAGAGCAGTTCTGTTGTGGCCTGAGGAGAGGGGAGTGGGTACGGAGAAGAGAAAGGTCTGGGAGAAGGAGACAGGGCCTGGGCTGAAGTGCAGGCCAGGGCGTCCTCCTGCTGCAGCTGCTGCTGTTGCTGCTGCTGCTGCTGCTGTAAGAGTGAGTTAGAGAGTATGAAGTCGTAGTCCAGGTCCAGGTCTGGCTCTGGGTCCTTCTTGGACATGCTGCTGGGGCTGGAGGCAGTAGGGGTGTCTGGATCGGAGCAAATGGTTCCAGTTGGCACGCAGGATATCTTAAGTTGGGACAACTCCTCCTTCCATCTCTAGAGAAAGGTACAAAGATATACATTTTAGCTTAGTCATAGCTTTGTGTGTTATAGTAGTGAGTATGCCTATTTGAATCCCAAGGTAAATATTTACTAATGTACAAAAGGAACAAATGACCATGTGAAAATGTGTACAGTTCTTTTAAGTAGCTGTCTAAGGCTGCATTCACACTGGTTTAGTCCTGGCCTAAGATTAGTCCAGAATTTAAATTAGAAATTTTGATGTGATCTATGTGTAAGTGTAAACACACCCAAAGGTAAGGTAATGTGTACTTAATTTGAGGTTTGGACAGTGAATTACTTGAATTTATTATTATTATTATTATTATTACTTATTTATTTTTGTGAAATGCTCCTTCTGTATCACAGAAGTTTTAGAACTTTGTTATAAGCTTAGTGTGCCACTGTGTTAAAAAAAAAAAAAAAAAAAAAAAAATTCTAATCTAATAGGCTAGAACTGGCCACTATGACAAAAACAAAATCCAAACTGCGGTTGCTAAAGAACATGTGTAGTAAATGCACAACAGGCCTGAATGCGTTTTCTGGGGTGACAGTGCGCAGTAGCTGTCCCATGTGCACAAAGTACTGGCTCCTGGGAGCGCACTGTCTGTCCGCTTAATGCCCACAGTAACGCTGTGGCAACGAAGTTAAAATAAATAACTACTAACTAAGTTTTTTTGTTTGTTTTTTTAACTTTTTATATAAGAATTTATTGTGAAAATGCAATACTCACTAAATTGGCACTTTCCAAGAATTCTGTCTTGATTGTGGGGCAGCTGGCAAACGTTGAAATTGACGGCAGTAGCGTGCCGCCTAACGCCATCTCGACGTCATTTGGAGGCTGCCTGGAATAAAATCAATGTTATATCCCTCTGAGGAAATCCAGGTCGGTCCACAAGAAATGCCCAAATAATGGAAAGTTGTGCTCGATCCACACCTCATCAATGAATATTTCCCTTGGTCTGGTATTGAAAGTGACTGAAAAATGAATGGTTCGCAGTTCCAAGTTTTCCAAGTTTCTTTTGTCTAAACTCTGTCCCCGAACATGCTGGTGCTGGGTGGGCTGTGAGAGGTGTGTGCGGGGAAGACAGAGCGGCGTCGCACGGGGGAATCCCTCGCGCCTGTTGCCACGCAGAGACCGGCAGCGTCAAATGCGCGTACGCCGGGACTCTATCCTTTAAATGCTGAAAGCGCTTGAAATGGGAACGCCCCACGTTTCCTTGGAAACAGTCTCAGGAGAAAAACACACCAGAGTAAGTACTAGGGAGTGTGCGCGCGAGAGGGCGCACGTGGAGGAGAGTGCGCAGACTGAGAGCGCATGGTGCAAGGTTTGTTTGTAGCTATTGGTAGCAACCGTAGGCCTACCTGTTATTCATGAAAAACGTGGGCGAGAGAAGCTCACCTCTATTCCATACAAGTGGGTTTGCCTGTTGTGTGTGAATACCTCCATAATAATCTGTATAGTAAAAGTAAAAAAAAAAAAAATAAATAATAAAAATAAATAATAATAAAATAATAATAATAATAATAATAATAATAATAATAATAATATGTACTTACATTACTCAAAGAAAGGAGATAAATGTGGATACAATTGACTCGAAAGTGAGCAAACACTAGAATTGAAAATTCCACCAGAATAAGCGCATTTTACGTAGCACCAGTTTTACATGTATCACTGTTTGTGAAACACTTGCTTGGGAATATGACTGGACGTATTTAAATGACTTCAATTCACACTTACCATATAGGTTAATTTGCATTGACCTTACCTCACCTTTCCCGTTTTTCATTTCATTGTGTTTTGTGTTTTGCTATGTTATAGTACTCACCATATTTTAGTTGTCACACAGGTTGTCCACCCCCTCAGGGATTCAGACATTACAATAATTAACAGCATGACACCCGAACAACTAGTCTGTTAAAAAACACTCAGATGGTTTAAAGCTGAGCTTATTGCAAGTTTGAGTGCCTGTGAAGGGTAGTTGTCCCAGGCTCTATTTGCTCAAAGCTCACAGCTAACAGACCGATAATAATTAGGCTCATTGACTCAAGAGTGATAAGCAAACATTGTTGCCACTGATCCTGCTGCATCAGGATCTTGTCAGTTCAGTCAGCAAACATCCACATTCATACAGCAGCTAGTTAAAGAAGTTACTGTTAGTCTTTATGATCTATTGTCCAGTGAGACAAAACAAAAGGCCAAAGGACTTAGTTCATCTAGGATCTTTCTAAATTCAATTCAAAGGTTTGTTGTTTTGACTGTGAGATTCACCTCTGCTCACTGCATGTATTGTTCATCTTTAACAATTGCAAGGTGAGCAGTTGGGTTTTAAACATTTATTGTTGAGTTTACATGTATTGGTTTTGAAGTCCAGCTTCCTAACAGCAACTAGGACTACAATGGAGCCTATGTTACTATATCCATAGTCTTTATGGTGGCAAATAATAGTTTTGAAAATGATCCTAGACACAAAAGATTGACTTTTCACAATTGAGATACAGTGACAGAGGAAATGTGAAAGGAACAGAATGTGACACCAGTGTCTACTTTTTCACTAAATGAACCATGGTATAGTGATTTGAATTGTTAAAGTTGGGGGTGAATCCTTATTTTAAATGTGATATATCCCCACACTGCAATTAATCTGCTACTAATCTGAAACTTGCCACTAGTGAAGTCTGCGTGAACATGTTGTACCTCCCTCTCCTCCTACTGTTGTTCACCAACCAAATCTAATGGTCAGAGTTGTGTTTGGAACTCACAAATAGTAACTACTATATTTACTAAACTGCAGTTAATATGCTACAATCAATCGCTTCTGACATAGACCAGATATAGCTACAGTCTATGTCTTGAACTTATCCCTGAATGACCCAATAGAGGTGAAAAAGAGCAGCTTCTGTTTTTAAAGATGAACCTACTTATGTCATTTAGCTGTTGTAGCTGGTTTCCAGTTGTTTTTTAAGGTTTGAGATGACAAAACTTTCAACTTAATCTCAGAGCAAGGATATCTCTGGTATTCAAGATTCTATGTTTTTCTATTCTATGTTTTGTTATATTTGTGATTCTCTTATAAATTTCACTTTTCTGTGACACATTGTTACGGGTACTGTCATGTTGTTTCAATACAAAACAACTTGAATTTCCCTCAGGATCAATAAAGTATTTCTCTCTCTTCATCTACTTGTTTTTTTTATTATGCAATTGAAATTCCAAAAGTTAGACACTGAAATTACAAATGTTTGAGGATTCTATACTGCCAAACAGCTTGTGTTTGTGGTAGCAAAATGAAAATATACTACTTTTTTCCTGAGGCTGGTACAGCTACAGTCACAGCTGAAGTAAGTTGTAGGCATAGTCATGTCTGGCAGATTTGTTTGTTTCTGTGCAGAACATTCTGAGCAACAAAGCCTCAGCTTTAGTATGGCTCTGTCTCTTGATTAGCACCATTGTGGCTGTGGTTTTTTGGTTGGTGCTCAAGTCAAAGTGGCCAAAGTACATTTGTTTTAAACAGGAAGGTAACAGGGAAAGGACACAGAACAGAGATATAGCTGGAGAGGGAGCTCCTGCCGGGCGACAGGCTGTCCAGCCTCTGCCTGCCCTGGGATTCCTCCACCGCCTTAAATATGCCAGTTATTTTTAACCAGCAACGTAACACAGCCCAGCGCCAGCCCCCTCTACAATGTTTCCTTTCTGTCAGAGGGGAAATGGACTGGGGCCACACTTCCTGGTCACATGATGCAGCCCAGGCATTCGAATGTGCTCCGTAGAAGAGGGGAAGTGGGGAAGAGTGATGAAGGGAGGGACTCGGCCCACACAGTCCACAGTTCCTCAGGCCTGGCGTCAGACAAGCTCCTTGCTCCATGGCACAGACGTCACGTACAGAGAACCAGCTCTGGTGCTGTGAACAGCAGAGGAAAGGAGAGGAGAGGCAGACTGGAGGAGGCCCTTGTGACGTCACGTTGGCCCCGCCAGGATTAGAAGCCTCTAAAAGAGAGGCTTGGAACTAAAGTGAGCTGTTCTGAAAGACTTACAGGGGAATCAGGGACTTCCCATGAACTCACCTTGTTGACATAAAGGGAATTTGGATTTCTTCTTGTCTCTCTCTGCTCTACCTCAGTTCCTCCTGAAATAAGCATGACCTAAAAAATATAGACTTTGCACAAAATATTTATGAGATGTGACTCAAACCCAATCTGTAGCTGGTGATGCTTGTTGATTACTTAGTGTGTGTTTTATCTAATGGACTTCAAATTCTGTGTTCTTGAAAGAATGTGCAATGAAGCCTGGCTGCAGGCCAGCTCTCATTTTCGCATGAGAACTGATCCTTTGGTCCATTATTGCAACTGACTTTTTATATTACACCAGTGCCAGAAAAGGCCTGTTGACTAAGATGATTTCACACCCTTATGATGAAACTAAGTGCAAATACTGACATTCGTCAACATTTGTTACAAGCCAGTTGTACACCTTTATTTAGTTATACTGCGTACTTTCAAATTGTAATGCATACATGTTATGGTATTATGTAATATATCTTAGCAACACTTGTAAAAAACACACTTTGAATCTAAGGCAGATGTAAGGGTTCAGTTTTGCAAAAGAAGGTATTTAGAAGACTTGCTTAAGTCAGTTGCTTATTTATTTCAAGCTGAAAAAGCGAAGCTATAATGAGCAATAAAAATGTGTCAAATTTACTGAAGTTTTCATCTTCAACTCTACATTATATTATGCTCTCTCCTCTGTATTCTTAATGTTTATTCCACAGCATCAGACAAGGCAGTAAAAGTGTATGGAAGTTCACATCTTACAGTGTTAGAAGGGTTCCTATAGAAACATAAGAGTAGTAAAAATGTTGGCCTTTCTTTTCAGCAATTACTGCAATCACAGGATTCATGAAGCCTTAACATTCAGCTGGCAGGGAGTCAGAAGCATCTAATAGGTTGTCTTTACTCCATTATATATAAAGTATGCCTGTCACATTTTCACAGCACTTGATTAAGTCTTTATGTTCACAAGGCACACTGGAATTTTAGATGTAACATGATCGAGGAGTAGGAGTCGCATATTGGAATGTTAACCAGGACATTATGAATTGTTACCTGTATGTCATTTACAAGGAGAGCTGCTTTAATGGTTCAACAGTCTTACACTGATGGGATCCAGACATGAGGGAATGATTGGCTATAGTCTATGACATTTTAATGTAAAGTGAGATTTGTGTGGTAATTGTTTTCAGATTTCACAAGCTAAGTTGAAGTGATGAAAAGTGCAGGAGGCTGGGAAGGTTTAGAGTGGAAGTTTTTTTTTTTTTTTTTTTTTTTTTTTTTTTTTTTTTTTTAAACCATTGCAAAAGTTGTATTAAGCAAAAAGTAGGCAAATCATATACAAAGACAATATAATAAAATACACAGTTCTGATGTAATTATAATTAGGCAGTAAACACTGGTGTTAGCAAGTTGTCTGGAAATCGAATGTAGAGGAGAGGGATGGACAAGATTGATGAATACTGCGGAGTGGAGATTGTGTGTGCTAGGTGAAAAACTTACAATGAAAGACTTACTTCAATTACTGTATTTTTTGCTGTGAGTTGGGTGGCATTATTGGATGCTTACCAATAGCCCATTACTGCAGGAGGATATAGAGCTGCAAATGAATAAAATAAATAAATAAATAAATAAGATTTCAATTAAAATTATGTACTATTATTACCAAAGAATCTGAATTCCATATGAAAAATACAATTAATATTATTAATACAATTAATACAAGTAACTTCTACTTGTTAATTGTGCTCATTCCCCACCTCCCAAAACATAGAATAAAGCCACTTGTCTAATCTACATGAAAAAATATCACAAAACATTACTAACAAAACTATATTAGGTCTACAGGTTCATTTTGACTTTTTTAGAAGTAATAGTTTGAATTAATCGTGAATTCAGTCACAAGTCAGCTCATCGTGATGATGATTTTAGCCATTATCAAGCAGCCTTGGAGGATCTAAAGTGTAATTTGTATCAAAGCCAAATCGGATCTTGATGCTTATTTTCGTTTGCGCAATCGCTTCTGCGTCTAAGTTTGACTATCTGGTTAAGATGTGTGCAATTATTGCTTAGTAGATGTAAACCTCCTTGTGGGATGATCCATGGATTAG